AACTTTAGGAAAGAAAAAAACAGTAAACTTAGTTTTTTTTGACAAAACTAATTATGGATGCCGGCTTTGTGAAAGCAGAAAGCACAAATCTGCCAAGAATTGACGCATTGATGGTTGGTGAATTTGTTACACTAAACCCCGATTTCTGCTCTGCGGAGCAGAGAAACGACAAGGCATCTATGTAAGTACAGTGCATTTAGTATTACAATGTAGTAATAAACATAAAACTGATACAACATATGAATAAGTTTAATAAAGTTGCGTAGGTTAATTTCTTTCGGCACTTTAATCCACAACTTTCCTGGAGTCTTCGAGGATGTGTTTTTATATTCTCGTTCAATACAGTAATGATAATTACTTTATATTTCGTGGTATTTATTAGAAATCATGTTTTTTTATTATTATAAACTCAGCTATAAGTAATTTTCTACGTGTTACACCCATATTCTTAGTCGTTTCCTCGAGATTTTTTCCACTCGACTCAACCTCATTGGAGGAAATTCGTATGCTTAGACAACAAAAATATCCTTCACTTGAGATATTCCTCACTCGAGTGGAGGTCGAGTCGAGGAATAAACTGTCAAACTCAAGGTAGCTCTCGACGTACCTTAAGGCTTCCTCGAGTGGTGTTTTCAAGTTGCTTTTATCGAGAATTATGTCTGATTTTGAGATTATTGACGAATTTGTGGATTTTATGGATTAAGTATACGATTTATTTATTGATTTATTCAGTAACACATACACGATGATTAACCATATAATTATCCGGCGCGACGGTATTTACGTGATGCCGCAAATCCTTTTAAGGTCTACGACAATGATTCGTTTCAAAGAAGATTTCGGTTTAGAAAAGATCAGTCATACAAGTAATATTTCCTCTGTTAACCATTATAGAAATAAAATCCTCCAAATGATGACGTCACAATGTTGAGGAATTCTCAAGTTTGTTCAAGATACCAACTAGAATACCATTTTCGAGGTTATTTGGAGGAATTCCTTAAGGAGCCCTCGAATGAGTTTGAGTCGAGGAACGTTTGAGGACGCGATTAAGAATATGGGTGAGAGTTTTTGTTTACCACAGTTCACATCATAGCATAGATAATCTATAGACTAAAATGGCCGACAGCGTTTTTGTATGTCCATGAAAAGTCTATTTTAAAATTAAAGGTTTGTAGCTTTCTAGGTTTAAAAAAATTACAATACATTTTTTTTCGGTCTAATAGAACATTTATTAACCATTTAAAACCTTTTTCCAAAAAGGGTCGTTGATCCTTGACCCTTAATTGGTAGTTTTCGTATGATGCGTGCAATAGTGCCAACTCAGTGACAGAAAATTAACAAGTGTTTTTTCTTTAAGTTGGCATTGATAGAAATGATTTATTTATTTATTATCGTTAGTAATATTATTTATGGTTGAAATTTTTTTAAAGCTTTCATTTCATTGTAGTTTTTTTTAAATAATCAAAGTTGATTCAAACTGTATTAAAAAATAAATATAAGTATGGATGAAGGTACAAACATTGACTTTTCTTTTCAACACTGAACTTAGCGCACTCTGCTGGTGTATTTGAAAACTAATTCACGTTCCAATTAAGCATCAGCATAATTCGGCATTGTGCGCCACTGAGTCGAATTATGCTCTGTAATTGGAAAACTACCAGGGTCACATAAATATACTGGGGAAAAGGGTTGAAGGGAGAGAAGAATCTATTTGAATTTCGGAAACAATCGGAGATAATTTTATTCAACGTCAATTAAATTCTAACACTGTTATTAAATACAAGGACAACAATAAGAAATGGCTTAGTAAATTTCACAAACCTTTTCGTTAATCGTCTGAATGTGTACATTATGATAAAGGCTGGTGTTTATTAACTTTAATAAATCATTATTTCAATATAAAACTAAAAGTAACTCAAGGGCATATCGATAATCTAATATTTAAAATAAAATTGAACTTTTAATTATAAACATTGATTTCAGATGTTAAAACCAACGATATTAAATTCCCTAGATACACCACGTGCGCTCAAAATGTGTCCCAATCAAGAAGTGCTTGAACATGACTCAAGCACTTCTTGATTCACAGTCACGCGCAGCGGTTATGAAACTCTATGACGCGTGCGTTTTAATTAAGACCTTATACTATATGCTTTTAAAGGTGATTTTCAATGTTTAAATAATGCCTTATATTGTTTAGACTACGCGATCAACTTACGGAGCTAAATGGATTGTCCAATGTACCTTGTGGACAGGTCTCGGGCATGATTTTGTTCGTGTTGGTGTATCTAGGGTATTTAATATCGTTGGTTAAAACTCTAAAAATTCAATATTCATTTATTACGTTTAGGCTTTTACAAGCACATATGAAAGTCGAAAGCTCCGCCGTCGGTTCGCAAATCTACGGCGGGAGACCTTGTATACTGAGAAGAACCGGCAAGAAACATAAGCTGCTTTTTTCTCCCTGACTTATTTCATACAGTGTCGTTAAATTGACATCGAAAAGCTGACATCAAGATTATACACATTTATTGAAGTCAACTTCCATAACATAATGTAAAATAGGAAACAATAAATAAACAAAAGCCACGAAATGTCCAGTGAATAATTTTTAAAATAAATGAGCAAGTATATAAAAGACATAATGTAAAAGTTTCACTTCAATACTCCTTTTGAGGAAACAAGTTTAATATAACTTCGAAAATTTGCTAAAGGTAATAATAAAAAAAGGCTAAAGCGAACTAAGCGACGCGCAGAGTGTGAACACGCATTGCCACTCGCGCTGCCGGTCCTTTAACTTGCGCAAAAAAACCGCTCTTTCGGGGAGCGCCGGGCAGCGCAAGTGGCAATGGCAGTGGCATGACGAGTATCGTGTTTACATACTCGTCACGCCCACTTCCCTGCCCACTACCCTCCTTACTCGCGCTGCATGTAAACGAGGTACATATAAGTATATACGGATGTATGAGATTTATTTGAGCAGGATGGTTGACAGGCCTGAAACAAAAAACAAAACAAAATAAATTTTTTTCTAAGTTTTCACGCACACCACTCATTAAATGAAACAAGTTTTGAACGAGTATAAATGCGTTTTTTAATACTTTTTCACTGTATTTTTGACGCTTCGCATCCTTTTCAGGATGTATCGAAAATGTAGTAAGGTACAGTTTGTCTATAAAGTCGTGACATGAATGTTTGATTATTCATGTGTCTCGCAACACCAAACTTATGTACATCAGCTGTCATCGAGTTTCAGTTGTGGAACAGTTTTCCTTTTGTATTTTATTATTGTTTGGATTAAACTGTAATAAATTAAGACGAAACTACGCAGAAAGGTATAAAAACGAGTAAAGTAAATCGGAGTGGCACGCGGTAAGTGATTTTTAAAGTTTTCCAGCGATGTTTCGAAGACTACCAAGCTAATGAATAATGAATAATCATTATTCTGACGATGCAGACCTGAAAAGGCTGCGAAACGTCAATAAATAAATAAAGTTTCGTGCATTAACCCGTAAAAACTAGTTTTATTTAATGAGTGATGTGCGTGAAAACCTAAGAAACAAATAGATTACTTTACTTACCATTTCAAGAATATTATGTGTATCCATTAGTACAGGTCTTGTGCTTAAGTTACTTAATTTGGCTATAGTAGACTGAAAAGAAAAAATGAAAAATTTTAGATAAGCAAGTTAATTTTATCATAATTTTTATTTGGAATATCTTACAGTAACAAATTTGTAATCGCTATTCTGTTAGATTTTAGTTAAGGAAAGTTAAAGTTTAGTTAGTTATGTTAGTTTATAGCTTTTCATAAATTAAGTTACATATAGAGGTCGTTTTCCAATTACAGAGCTGATTCGCAATCAGTGGCGCACAATGCCGTATTATGCTGATGCTTAATTGGAACGTGAATTAGTTTTCAAATGCACCAGCAGAGTGCGCTAAGTTCAGTGTTGAAAAAAAAGTCAATTATTTAAAAAAACCTTTAATGAAAGGAAAGCTTTAATAATTTTTCAACAATAAATAATATTACTAACGAATAACATATAAACAAAACATTTCGATCAATGCCAACTTAAAGAAAAAACACTTGTTAATTTTCTGTCACTGAGTTGGTACGATTGCAAGCATCACACGAAAGCAGTGTGACCAGATTCAGTATTTTAATACTTTTTCAGTATATTTCATCGATTTTTCCGAACATCAGTATATTTTCAGGTATATTGCTGGCTGTCAGTATTTTTGGGTATATTTTGGTAGAAGTTATGGCAACACCATAGTGAGTGATCGTCTTTGCGACAATGTTTGCGGAATTCCCCGGAACGCGAACATTGGGGACTTCCCCGGATTTAGTTTACATATACTTATACATGTTATCTATGAGTAAGTTACAGATATGACAAGAAAGACGGCCGTTGTCGGCGTTGTAGTATTGTAATACTACATATACAATTATCAATCAATACATAGTATTAATCGGACTTGCAGAATGTATGTTCGCCTAAAACTTTACAACTGCTGGACCGATTTTAATGCGGATTGCACTATTAGATAGAGCGTGAAGAAATGAAGGAGGTTGTGTAAATTTTAATCCTTCGAAAAGGATGTTAAAATATAATTCTAATATTTATTGTGAGTACGTATGAATAAATAAAATGTGGAATTTTTTCTAGTTATATTTTCTTTAGATTTAAACATCAAGCAGTTACATGCTTTAAAAATAATAAAAATTATAAATAAAATGTGTTAAGAAAATCAGTATTTTTATTGGTATATCTGTCCTATGTAAGTCGGTATATTTCAGTATTTTTTTGAGGTGCCTCGGTATTTTCGTAAAATTTAATCTGGTCACACTGCACGAAAGCATTACTTTTGAGAGTGCTCGATTGTGCGAAGCGTTGCTGTAGTTGAAACATTCAACGATAAGCATTATGCCGCATAATGCGCTCTAGTGCTGTAATTGGAAAACTACCAGAATTTGTAAACATTTAACATTGGCTAAATGCACAAGCCGTGCGAAGCCATTTAGAAAAAAAAGTGTCATATAACATCTGTGGTTTCTGATTGCTTGTTTGTTGTGCAGTTATTATTATTTTACTTTTTTTAATACCCACTTACCACCTATTGGTGACCAGATTATGGGTAATGCAGGAAGTAATCAGGCTAAAGAATGGCACCGAGAAACTGTTGCTAAGGTGCCTGATGTTGGTCCATCATCCCCCGTAAAAGAAGGGGAAGCTTTTACTTTCGATAAAAAATTGGACGATACGCGTGGAGGTCGAGACGAAGATAGTACTATTGAAGATGGAGCACCATATTATACAAAAGCCGTACCTGAAAGCGAGGAAGAATACAGTGCTCCGCGAGAAAGGTCAAACACTCTTACAGAAAGTAACAAAGATATTGATGAATTAAAGGTGTTACCCACTGTTTTCAAATGGGAAGGAGGTGGAAAGCAGGTAGTTATTTAGGATACCTAGCTAAATAATAGGGAATCAACACTTAGTAGTTAGTGAAATATTTTAAAAACATTAATATCATAGATATTCAGTCCAGAGTTACATGAATCTGAATCCTTTGTTGTTGTAAGTTCTAGCATCTATTTAAATATTGGTTATAAAAATTTTGTATTACATACTTAATTTGCTTGTTTTATAAAGTTATAGAAAGAGTTGCAATGATAGCATTGTTACTGGACTTATCTCGTTTAATCTATAAAATTGAAAATCTTTTAAGATATTACTCTGGTACCTACACAGCTAAATAATTAGTTTATTTAGTTTTAAGTTTTGTTTAAATGCATAAGTTAATTAACTTTTATTATTAATTGCTTCCCTAGGCTTTGAGGTGAATATGCCCTTGAGATAAAACAATTTTCTATTCAGATGATTTCAAAATCTTTCTTTACCCAAAATAAAATGAACCTGGTAGCTCTGAATGATACTTAATCACTACACATTTTGTAATGTACAGCATTTTAATTAAGCACAATTTATAAATTATGAAAAATAAGTATATATTTATTATTTTGTGTTAGTGTAGTTGGCTGATTTGTTCAATAAAGAAACTTTTTAAATAGAGTTTGTTTGTTTATCAAAACTTGTTTGTTTTTCAAAACATTTGTAGAGAAAGAAAATTTTTGATGTATGTTTGAAGAAATATTATACTTTATATTAAAATGTTACTGATGTATTTAATTTCAGGTTTACATATGTGGCACATTTACTGACTGGAAAACTATTCCTATGGTAAAATCTCATGGGGATTTTGTTACCATTATTGATCTGCCAGAAGGAGAACATCAATACAAATATTTTGTAGATGGAGAATGGCGTCATGACCCCACTGTGGTGGGTAGTGTTATTTCATAACATTAAATTTTGAAGTTGATATATCAGATAAATTATACATTTTAATATGAATAGGATATTCAATGAAATTGACTGTTATAATACATTTATTGTAATGGAAATTAAATGACAAAAATACAATCAATATTTTTAGTAAATTGGGGAGTGAAGTGCAAATAGTTTGAGTTACCCCCATGTATTCATAGGTACATAAGATAGAATGTATTAAATTATCATAGTAGCCTGACAGTTAATGTTGATATATCGCTTTATCATATCCCATTTTGGTGGTCATGCAAGAGGGGCTGGGGTATACATTTACCATTAAACATACATTTACAGAATCTTTCTGTTTTATTCATTAACTATCTTTATATAAAGGTTGTATTCTTATTGACATACAGTTTATTCAACAAATGCACAATTATTTTTTCAGAAAGTAATAGACAATGGCATGGGATCCAAAAATAACTTGGTCACAGTGAAGATGTCTGACTTTGAAGTATTTCAAGCTCTCGCTAAAGATAGTGAAGGGATACACAGCAGTGCCCAAACTGAGTATTCTCAGGTATGGATTTTGATTATAGTCATAGATGTTTTCAATAAATATGATGTAGTACATCTAAATCAAACAATTTTTACTAAATATAATTTTCCATTCACATCCAGTCCAAACATTGATACAGAACAAAACATGGAGGGGATAGCTGCGCACGGGTACGACTGGAGAGCCAATCGGCGCACCTCGTTTCGTCCCAAGACATTTTAATTTATACTTCTGCGCAGTAACAGTCAGCACTAGAGTTTCGTGCCGTGACTTATAATGGCACATACGTTGACGAGCATGATTTATTTTCTATTACTGGATGCCTGTGAATTCATCTGCATAATAAAGATTTCTATTCAAACTTATCTCCCCCTACTTCAAACAAGAGCTAGCCAAATGTCCATTCCATATTTGCCTTTATTAATCCCCTTTATCTCTTCAAATAAAATCATCAAATTTTATTTTTGCTTTTACCTTCATATTACACTCGGGAGATAAAAGAATACTAGCGCCTTTGTTTAGAAACTAAATGTTTCGTCTTGTTGAGTGGAGGACACTGCAACATGTATTTGAAACAATGTATGTACTTTTGTTTATAAACTGTATACAGAGAGGATGCAACATTGTGAAACACTGTTTATAAACAGTGTTTATAACCAAATAATGCTTAATGAACACCTAATCTGATATTTTACGAATTTTGATAAACTTTTTTATTTTTTAGGAAATACCACAGTCTAAACCATGGGAAAAGGTATCTGGGCCCCCTATATTGCCACCACATTTACTGCAAGTCATATTAAATAAAGACACACCACTATCAGTAAGTATTAAAGTAGATGTATGCTTATAAAAGTTTTTTTTAAGCTAATCATTTATGTTATCCACATTTAATTACAGTGTGAACCAACATTATTACCAGAACCGAACCATGTGATGTTGAACCACCTCTATGCTTTATCTATAAAAGATGGAGTCATGGTATTATCTGCCACGCATAGATATAGAAAGAAGTATGTCACCACTCTTCTTTACAAGCCCATCTAAATCAAGCGCGGATCCAGCATTCAAAAAAGGTTGTGGTCACAGCTACTAGAAAATCGGCTAAGTACGAGTCGGAGCATGAACATGCTCATCAACAATCATGCAAGTCGTTTATGAACTTTAGAATTAGATTATTTCCTTTTTTCTGAGCATCAGGACTTGGGCCTTAGGAAAGGAAACAAACTTAGGAGGAAGTCGGACCCGATTTCTTCAAATCAAATAGTCAGTTTCGATCCAAACCTATTTTAATCAATAAGTTATATTTTTTTCTTTTAGCCAGTAAGCCAATATAGGGACACTAGACTGGATTAATAGGTATCTTGACGTTGTATCAGGAGTAATGTAAGTGAGATCAGCAAGTGAGATCCACCAGGCGAGATTTTGATTATTTTTTACATTTTCTAAGAATATTAAATTAAATTAAATGCTAGGAACATTTCACATGAAACAACTTTATTTAGGTACTTACTTAAATTACAAATTCAAGCTTACGTTTCTTTTTTGCAAAAACGTTTAAAATGTCATCAATATCCAGGTTCACATCTTTGTGTATATTTAGGAGAGCTAGCCCGGATAATCTTTCCTGTGCCATTGAGGCACGCAACCAAGATTTTATTCTGCGAAGAGTAGAAAAAGATCTCTCTGCGGTAGCCACGCTGACCGGAAGAGTCGCCAGTATTTGTAAGAAAATTTTTGTGTTAGGGTACAAATCTTGGTCGCATGCTTCAATGAGATGAGCTACCGAGTCTGGTATGGCCGAATTGTTCTTATATTCTCTTTTCCATTTGGTCATCCAGAGTCGGTATTCATTTATGACAGTTGACTCACTATCGTTAATGAATAGGCGGTACATCTGGACCACTTTTTTCACTTTCACTATCTCGATATCGATATCCCAGTCCCTGATACTCACATTAGGGTTTGGTAGAAAAACTCCTAAATGAAATAGGTCGAGTACCTCCGGAGACAATCTCTCCTCCAAATCATTAATAATGGAATCTAATAGAGGTATGTAGATTGATTTCCGAAAGTACTCTTCCACCGATTTCGCCTCATAATTGGACCTGTTTGTTTGTCTTTGAACTGTACGTGGGGATTTTAATGTAACATCCAGCTCTTTTGCTTGCTCTGTCGCCTCTGAAAATAATTGCTTAAATACAGACTCAGCATTTTGGCGTTTCGATCGTAATACTTCCATGACATCCTTCACAGCATCGACGGCTCTTTTGATGTCAACCGATGCAGTTTGCAAGAATCGGCTCAAAGAAACTGTAGTTCCTGAAATAAAAAAAAGAGATTTTTTTTTTTTTTTGAGAAATAAAAAGCTTATATATAGATCGATTTGTAGTTTTGTTTTCTTACCAAGAATATCGCTTAGGCATATCGAAGATATAATAAAGTCAGAGCTACGTAGTGTTTGTAAGAGACAGTGAGCGTCACTTGAAGTTTTATTATCTTGCCATGTCGATATTCTCTCCAGTGCGTTACAAATTTTAACCAAATTATCACCCTGGAATTGTAAATGTCCGTCGTGTCTTTCAACCCAACGTGTCTCGCATATACTTTGAATAGCCGTACCATCAAGCTCTTCTGAGAATACGCTATGGCGTTTTGCAGAAGCGTTAGCAAACGCTACGACTTTTTTCATTGTCCCAGTTGTGTTTCTACACGAAGCGACTTTTGATGACTTGGCCAAGGAGTTATTTAAAACATGATTGCTACAAGGACAACGTTTTGCGTGAATGGCTTTTTTAGACAGTTCCTGAACAGCACCTTTAGCGTCGGAAGCCATTACTGAACAGCTGTCAGTTCCTATCCCTACACAAAAAGCTAAATCTATATCAAATTTGTAGCAAAGATTTTCCACGATTCTCGCTAATGCGATTCCTGTTAACCGTAATTCTTTTATGGCATCTGAGGTATCTGTTTCTTTAAATTGAAGCATTTCATACGCGTCACAGAAGCATAAAAAATCTTCCTTAATAAATCCATCATTAAAATATCTGAATGATAGACTCATCTGTTCGGTATGAGATATATCTGTAGTCTCGTCAAAAATAATAGAGAAAAACTTAGCTTTTTTCACGTTTTGTAAAATAGTTTCCTGAATCTGTTCTTTACAAATGTCGATAAGTTCGTTCTGTACAGTTTTGCTTATGTAAGTCGCTGTAGAACTTGTTGATGATAAATGGCGTTTAAGAACTGAGTCGCCTGCATCTATTCTAAATTTTAACAGAGCTCGAAAATTTCCTTCTGCAGAGGAGACGTCACTATTATCGGCGTTCGTGCTTAAAATCTGGCCATCGTCTCTGTGGCCACGCAATGGTATATTTTGACGACCACACAGTATTATAGTTTTTATAATTGGTCTTAAACGATCTCTGTTTTCTGCCACTTGAGCCTTTCTTTGAGTAGAAATCTGGTTAGCAATATCGATCTCAGGTTTATGATAATACGCCAAAAAATTCTTCCCACTTTCAACGGCTACCTTATGGTAATGATTGCGTTGATGTTGCAGTAATAACCCGCCTTCGCCTAATAAGTTGTTAAAGGCCTTCAATGGTTTTGTCACAAGACGTCCAGGGTTAGATCTAACGAAATCAGTAGCAGATTGAGTGATAAATAAGGCACAATATTTGCAATAGAGTCCCTGATCTTTATGTGACAGCACAAGCCAATGGAATTTTTCAAGATGTGATTTTTGGACATATTTTCTGTACGTTTTTCCGTGTTTTTGCAAAACTTGGTGCGGAAAATCATAGTTAAGTGAAGGCACCCAATGTTTTTCTAGTAGTGCAGCTTTAGTTGCATCAAGTAATTCATGCATGTTTCCTTTAGAAATATAGTTTCCAATATCTGAAGCAAATTCAGAGTTCAAGGACAAGCCGCCACTAGTTATAGTTGATGATGATGATGCAGTTAAAGCTGTAGACGTACACTGATCAGAAGTAGAAGCAATATCTATACTATCAATTACTTGGGAGTCAATATCAATTTCACTACCAGTAGTCAATGCCCCCGCTCCAATCTCAACCTTGGGTTTTTTAAAAAAATATGTGTTAATCTTTCGCGTTGAAGCAGTATTATGACTCCGCTTAGAGCCACTTGTGCCACCACCATCACCCTTCTTCTCTACAATAATACCCTCAACCTCATCTTCCTGTAAATCAAACAATGCAGGCAAAAGTCAAAACAACATGCAATGCACAAGCCAGTTTTTCAAAAATCTTAAGCATTGATGGGAGGTGAGAAAGGTTTTGAATTTATTTAAGGTTAAGTAAACTTTAGGTTAGCTGTAAGGCTGTGACTTATGTAATAGGCAAGGTAATAGGTGCCTACCTTAATAGATTCAGAATACTCCTACCTGAACTGAATCTATTTCCTGTTCTGTTACTTATTATAAGTTTCCTTCTTTCGTAGTGTATAATTAACATAAGCAATTATATATAGGTATAAGGCATTACATAAATCACAGAGTAGAAAAAAACAAAAAAAAATCAATCCAATTAAAAGTGAAATTAAAATCGAAATATTCAGTTGAAATGAAATGTTCTGAAAACGCCCCCATAAATTAGTACCTGATAATTTATTTAGTAGGCTATTATAATTAAATAAGGTTTAACAAAACCAATTCGACAAACTGTATACTCAGATGCTCATAATATGGAACAAGTTTTACTATGCAGTCAACCCCGAATACGCGAAAAAAAATCAGCTGTACTGTTCCATACGTTTGGGCGATGTGGGTATTGAAGTTTTGTATGAAACAGCTGACTTTTTTCGCGATATTTTCAAGCAAGTACCTAGGGTTTGTCGGATTGGTTTTGTTACAACTTATATAACATATTAGATGCATAGCTGCGAAAGAAGATGTAGGATTTAATTTAATTGATAGATACTTAGATATCTATTAGTAAATGTTAAAAAAATCTTCCCAACCAAAAAAATAAACTTTTTCATACCCACAGCCACACACAAAAAAACAATATACAATGCATTAAATTACATTCTTTGTTACTTCTTTTATTATAAAACAAAGTTACAAATGATGAAACATAGCGTAAGGCTTTGCAGTAATTTCATTAAAATGACTTACCATGATACGCCGATGTATATTATGTTGAAAAAATAATCAAAGTAATTTACTCTTTATAAGTAATCTTTTTTAGGTTATGCTAGGTTGCTTACGTTTCACAGCATAAACAAAAGTAAGTACTAAGTAAAGTCGGCCAACCTCAGAGTAACTATCTATAGAGTTGACAGCTACGCGGCTCGAAGTTTTGGCGGCACGGCAATAAATTGCCAAAAATGTGACATAAGTCACAACATGTCAGCATATCGTCTATGGCTCTTTGCTGCGTTCCAAATCACGCACGTTTCATGATTCATTGTGTTTTTTAAATTTTATTAAGGCTTATCGTTCATTATCATCAGCCTATCGATCTCAATAGACCGTAAAAAGGTGACGTCACAAGTCTATTAAGGTTGTGGGCATGCCCATCGTGCCCACAACGGTGGATCCGCCCTTGATCTAAATACAAAGTATTTAATTGTTATAGTTTTCAGTTGCAATAAAATGAAATGCCTTGATTATAAATATTAGTACAATACTGACGTATGTAAAAAAATATATTGTAAATATAATAAAGTCATAATTTATTAAAGGTGTAGATTAATAATTTTGGCAAAATCTAATAATCACTTTGTCTTAGTTCTCAAACACTGGAATAAAAATCCATTAACAATTATCACAGGTCCCTAAAATCCTCACACTCCCAGGTCTAAGAAACTAGAAAAAATTGTAAACCTTGAGGATTATTGTGCAGTGAATGGTTGAATCATGAAACTTAAAAAAACTCACTTTAAAACAAATGTGTACAATGTGAAATTTTTAATGGTGTCTACCAAGTTAAATGAATGTGAGGCATAAAATGTAGTTTATGGGCATTAATGATACTGATAATTTAATAAATCTAAAGAAATTTCCACTAGCAAAATTCCAGCT